ATTGGAAGCCATGAACATATATTGTCATTAAGATAGAAAGCAAAACAAAGTTCTCATCAATTGCAAGAACGCAAAACTTAAATGCGAAGGCTTTCGTCGTCACTCGTGATCAATCACTCGTAGATCCATGGGTGGACAGACTTCTGCCAATCCACGACACCATCGGGGAACCACAGTGCGATCTCCTTCTTGGCATTGTCGACCGAGTCGCTGCCATGGATCACATTCCTGAAAGGTCGGAGAGACAGGGAAGAGTTTTTTAAGTTCGCAAGAGATTGAAGCAGCAATGCCGAGCAATTTACCTTCCAACGTCGATGGCGAAGTCCCCTCGGATGGTTCCAGGTGCCGAGGCAGCCGGGTTCGTGGCTCCGATGATCTTCCGGCCGGTCTCCACGACACCTTTCCCTTCCCACACCATCGCAACAACAGGGCCGGAAGTCACGTACTCGACGAGACCACCAAAGAATGGCTTCGCTGAGAGATCCGCGTAGTGCTTCTCCGCGAAGGATTTCTCAATTTGCATCAGCCTCAGTCCTACACATGATGAAAAGAAAAGCGTAAGGGAACTACGATAGAACTTCTCACAAAAGCCATACCTTTGAGCGTGAATCCCTTCTTCTCAAACCTCGCAATGATCTCCCCAACCTGTGAGTGTCCCGGAGATTGTTAAAAACAATATAACCGATGAAGAAAAGAGTGACTACAAAGGCTATAGCTATCTCCGAAATTCTCTGTTTGCCCCCAGAACAAAGCCACCAGATTGATGGAATCGTCTGGAGCTGAAATAAGAGGCCACTCAATCTAAAATCTACAAACTAGAAACCTAGCAAGAATCGAGGCGCCATACCAATCCTCGCTGCACGCCATCGGGCTTGATCATAATGAAGCTCTGCTCCATCGTCGCCATGGGATCGATCGTCGCCAAATGCACTGTCGCCCACAAGCCCTAGAACAAGGAACCCTAGCAAACGCGGCCAGGAGTGCTTAGCCGTTGGATCTTTGCCACGTGGATGCGTACAAATATCCCATACGGCATGGCGAAAGTATGGCGAGCGCGCACATGGCGACAATGTGGCACGTGATTATGTAGTGGCTGCTATTTCTTACTAGAGGACATATAAACGCATTTTTAATCGCGGAAGAGAATAAAATCTTAACAAAGGAAACTCTATGGTTTTTGGATTGTTCCAGAAGATCCAAGAACGGAAAAGAGGTTTTTTGTGGACAGGAGCGTGCCAGCGCGGCAGCCCTAACACATAGCTATTGTCAATGAATCAAAATATATTCCTTTGTTTCACGTACGTTACATAAAAAACACCAGCTCCAACGTTTGGCAGAGATTTTGCCCATGGAAAAAGTCAAGTCTACTGTACAGTCAGCATTGTCCCGACTTGGTATTTCACCCAGGATAGAAAAACCGTATTTGCCACCTTAGAAGGATCTACAAACAAGGTTGGAGAAAATATTCCAAGAGAGATACTGGATATGGAAAGGTAAAATACAAGATCACGTCGGTGTCAAACCCGTATTTAAAAAATGCGGATTTTTATATGATGTCTGGCACGCACTATCGCTGTCAAGGATCACGGCCCAACAAAAGATTTGTCTATAGCTCCAGGCAAACTTACCGGCGCCGGAATATGCCCCTGCCGGTAAGAAAGATTTAGCAGTGGCATTGTTACCTAAAACCTCGCTCTTGTTCGTGTTCTTGAGCTCCCTTCCTCTCTCTCTCTTTTGCGGCGGGCGAGGGTTTTGGAATCGAGCCGATCGCGCGGCCTGGCGCTGCTAAGGTGATGCGATCCGCGTTGTGTGTGATCTCCCGGGGCGGAAATTCGGGGTCTGGTGCCTGCATTGGCTGGGATTTGGGCCGCATTGCTGCGACTGCGCTGGAAATATGACGCTCATGGGAAAAGTTGACAAGTTCTCGGCCATGAAGCGATCCACAGTGTCATCGGCAGCCAAGCGCACGGCAGAATGGTAAATTCCTCGCTCGCCCCGCGATTTCTTAGAGTTTTCTTGCTTGCCGAAAATATTTTCTTTCTAGGCGCCTTGCGCAGCTTCATGTGACTTTGTGCAGAGAGATGGGCGCCGAGTGATCGAGCGTATTGTCTGAGTGATCAACTCTAACTAGAGCTCCAGACGCGAGTGCTGCATTTGAGGTAACATCTCAAGTGACTGGAGTGAGTGGTGGTCTTGTTTGTGTTCCTAGATCTTCCAAGCTTTAAGAAAATCTATGACATAGAAAGCGTCGGACTAGAAAATTGCTACTAAATGCTGTGGTCGTGGAATGATTCCAGGGTAATGTCTACTGATGTTCCCACCGACGTGCTCGTGGAGGCTGGAGGCGTCAGCTTCGCTCTTCACAAGGTTTGATAACAATGATCTCTTTCCTTTTGATTCTTTCAACTCTTTCTTGACTGAGAGTCACTTTCTAGCGAGCTATCTTACCTTGTTTTCTTTGTGCAAACTAACGGTGGAACTTGTTTGCCATTGCGTAGTTCCCCCTTGTGTCGAGGAGCGGAAAAATTCGCAAGCTGGTTGCTGGGGACTCTAGGGAACTTGATGTGTCGTTCATTAAGCTCTCGGATCTACCTGGAGGCCCCGAAGCGTTTGAGCTCGCGGCCAAGTTCTGCTATGGGATCAACTTTGAGATAAGCGTGACGAATGTTGCTACTCTCCGTTGCGCTGCCGAGTACCTTGACATGACGGAGGACTACGGGGATGGCAATCTCGTGGCTCGCACCGAGGCCTTCATCGACGAGATTGCTACACAGAATCTTTCAAACGCGGTGGCGGTGCTGCACAGCTGCGAGAGTCTACTTCCTCTAGCTGAGGAGCTCAAGATCGTCAACAGGTGTGTTGACGCCGCGGCAACGGAGGTGTGCCGGGAGCAATTGTCGAGCTTATCTTCACACACCGACTTCAGCAACTCAGAGAGAATGGAGAGCTTGCAGCCAAAGGGTCCTGTCGACTGGTGGGCTGAGGACTTATCCATCCTCCGCATCGACTTTTACCAGCGCGTTCTAGCAGCGATGATGTCCAGGGGCCTGCGACACGAGACGATTGGAGCGGCTCTCATGCACTATGCTCATCGAGCTCTCAAAGGTTTCAACAGGAAACAGGTGGCGCGAGATTCATCGCGGACAAAGCTCAAAGTTCACGACAGTGCCACTGCCATTGAGCACGAGCAGCGGATTCTGGTGGAGACAATCGTGAGCATGCTACCACGCGAGAAGAACTCCATCTCGTGCAGCTTCCTGTTCGGTCTCCTGCGAACGGCCCTCATCCTGGACACTACCGTGGCTTGCAGGATAGATCTGGAACAGAGGATTGGCATGCAGCTCGAGAGGGCCACACTGGATGATCTGCTGGTCCCGGCATTTTCTTATTCTGGCGATACACTGTTCGACGTCGACATTATCCATCGGATAGTCGTCAGTTTCCTCAAGCAGGAAAGCGACGACAACAAAGTCATGTACGAGTCGGACGGTGGCGCTTCTCCTTCCCAAAGTGCTCTCATGAGGGTGGCCAAGCTGATGGACGGCTACCTTGCGGAGGTAGCGCCCGACCCCAACCTCAAGGTGAGCAAGTTTATCGCTCTCGCGGAGCTCTTTCCAGATCACGCTCGGCTCGTGGACGACAGCCTCTACAGGGCCGTCGACATTTATCTAAAGGTATGTCGTCCATCCTCTAAAGATTCCCACTTCCTTGCTTTGCTGATTGCGTTGTCTCACTCACAGGCCCATCCGGCTCTGAGCGATCTGGAGCGCAAGAAGCTGTGCAAGCTTCTGGACGTCCAAAAGTTGTCACAGGAGGCGTGCCAGCATGCAGCGCAGAACGAGAGGCTACCCGTCCAGATGGTCGTGCAGGTCCTTTACTACGAACAGATGAGGCTGCGCACTGCCATGACAACTTCATTCGTGGATGGGGAACAGGTGGGTCCGTATTCCCAAAAGGCAGCTGGTCCCGGGGGCCTCAGCGCAGCCATATCACCCAGGGACCATTACTCGTCCATTAGACGGGAGAACAGGGAGCTCAAGCTGGAGGTGGCCAGGATGAGAATGCGGCTGACGGATCTGGAGAAAGACCACGTCAACATGAAAGAGGGCATCCAGAAGACAGGATCCAGCAGCAAGTTCCTGTCCTCGGTTACCAAAACGCTGAGCAAGCTCAATCCTTTCAGGTTCAAGGACTCGTCCAACGTCCCCAACGCCAAGTCCGGCATGAACAACAGGAGGAGACGGCACTCCATATCGTGAGCATCCACACGCCTTGCTTCATGACCACGTACGTTAAGTCCTCTGTAAGGCCTCCGAGAGTGATGTGCTTGCTAAAGTATTCATCTGTGGAAAGCTGGCCGGGATTGTTGCAGTGATCAGCTTCAACAGCCGGCTCACACAGGTGAAGGATTATAATACAGACAGACTATGGCACGGCTTTAGTGCTCTCCACTCTTCTCCAGCTCAGGATCCAAGGAAGAAGTGAGGTTCATAAGTGGTGCTCCAGTGAGTGCTACTGCTGCTATTGCTGTGCGTTACTGGGCTTCCTGGATGGAATTAGACATCAAAGGCAGGAAAAAGTGGGCCTGCTTGATTCCGGGAAAGTAGAGTACTGGGCCTGCTTGGTTCCGGGAAAGTAGAGTACTGCGAAGTGACCAGTGGATTCAAGGGACAAAAGTTTTGGCTGGTGTGCCACGGAACCTCAACACCCGCCAGCAAACAAGAGAAAGCAACTCAAAGACGGTGGCCGGGTTCCGGGGGCATGTGGAAAGAGGAATCCCGTGCAGGGAAAAGCCGAGCCGGGCCAGAGAGAAGTTCCCTGCTCACTCGACCGTAGAGCTTTTGTAAGCATATCATGGAACTCGGTGGTCAGTACTTGTGCTCGAGGATCGACGACGGCGATGGTGGAAAGAGGTGGAGATGGATTCGATGATTCGCATTCTTTCATCATCGACGCAGCGGTGCTGAGGCAGGATAGCCAGGGACAAAGCAAGACGGCAGTACAGGGGATAAGGATGAATCGCTTGCTTGGGTGTCCAAAAGACCAACTTTTAAGTCATTTTACATCCGGAGAAGCAGTGGAAACATCAACTCCAAGGCACTTACGCGATGCCAGACGAGTCCGAGTCTGGCTCATACCCGGTTCCGATCTCCTCTCCGCGCTGGACTTTGAGCTTGGTGGACTCGTGCTCTTGCTGCCAAGTTGGACAAGAAAGATCTTGCTGTGTCAGAGTGGTAAGCGATGAACGGGGCTTCGTTGGATCCGGAGTTGCGTGCTGCTCTCGAGTTTCTGGAGCTCCTGGAGCGGGTTGGTTGCCCAGATGGAGCTTGTCCTCGACGTTGTGCTTGAGGGAGTGATAGGTGCCCTCTTCGCCCTGCTCGATTTCGTAGCTCACTTTGACGGGCCCGGAGTCGTCAGTCACCACTTGCGATGTTGGTGATGCTTCTGCATGATCACAAACTTATCTAAGGTATTGAAACAAACATGGCAACCATCTCTCGTGCTTACCTTGTTTAGGATCGCCCATCGCAGCCAAATACCCTAGCGAGCTTCCTCTGTTCGCACCAAGCGGCAAATCAACAGCGGACAAGTGGTCTAACACAGGTGGCGCAATGCAAGCACGTCTTTGTTATATGTATTATTATTTGAGTAAATCTATCATAATAAGGACTGAGTGCTGAACTTTCTGGGCCACTGGATCCAGCCAATTGCAGCCGTCTGATGAGCGTGCCTGTTTAACAGGCTCTTGTATTGCTTGCTCTGCACTGCTAGGCTGTGTTGCTGCCTCTCTGCGCACTAGAGAACCAAGCTCTGGGGCTACCTGGATTGCAAAGCCAGGATTTTATTTCCCACTGCTTCTGCTCGCGCAAGAGTTCCAGCAGCAGAAGGCCGAGAGCATCAAGTCCATTGTGGTTGATCAAAAGTTGGGGTAAGCACAAGCTCTTTTGCTATTCCACCTTCCTCTGGTTGTGGGTGAAGGTTGGGTGTTGGGGCATAAACCATGGACAGTAGGCAACAAAAAATGTTGTTTGCTGTGGGTCTATGGCCCTTCTGCATTGCTTATCAATTTTTATTGACTTTTGGAAAACTCTTGCAAAGTATTGTGTGGGCATGAGAATAACAGCTCTTGGGGTTTCCGTAAGGCATGGCTACTAAGTTTGCTAGTGATTGTACAAGAGATATTGCTTAGGTGGTGAAACCATTGGGCTGAGAATATTGTTCACTAGCTTGGATACTATGATTAAAATTCATTTTGATTTAAACTTGCCTCAATCAGTTACTATAATTAAGATGACACTTACCCTGTCTTACAATTTTCTTCTTTATGTATATGTTTAGTTGATAAATAGAGAAGCTATATTGATGTATTGATCAGGCAATTACAACATGCTCAAGGTGTGGGTTAGCATATAAACAAATTAAACACCTTCATAAATCTTACAAATATAGAATATCAGGTTTTGAATTATAGTTTATATATTAATAACAAATTTTTTTTGTATTTCTTTTGTTAGTTTTACTTGGGTCTGGGTAGTAGATTAGTGTTCTTAAAATTTTATTGTTCTATATTTTAAGAAAGACATATGGTATAACTCTTTACTAAATCTACATTACTTAAAATTAAATTAATTTATTTTGATTCTATTTCTAGGTGGTTATGTACAATTTTTTAATTTTAGGTTATGTTTGGGTCTGAGTAATATATTAATGTTAGTTATATATTTATTCATATTCCAAGTAAACACATAATAATTAAATAATGCTTCTCTAAATTAATGATAATTAATCTTAGTAATTCTTCTTTATATTTCTATGAGTTTGGGTAGTTATATATTAGTTTTCTTGACATTTTTAGGATTCTAAATTTGTTTATATCCCAAATAAAAACATACTTTATATGTAACATTGTGAGTGCATGGAATATGGAAAGGGAATATAGAAAATGTGCATATCAATTAGCCTAAAAACCCTAGCTTATATATAGGAGCGAGTGGTCCAGATTAAAACCAATCCGACGGCTACCAAAATCCCACTATGCTAATATTAGTATACGGCATTGTAGCTGTACACTTGGCCCTCACATCATCCCCTCCTCTTGGAATAATGGAAGATCATTAGGATTCTCTTGTAGATGGGCCGGGATTGGGAGGAAAGTCAAGAGGAGGCAATGGTGGATCTGTAGGTGGAATTAACTATTCCTGATCCCTTAGTATGAAGCGTTTCAACCGCTGCACATGCACAATCTCTGGAGGATCAACCTATTAGATGTCATGCTAAACTTCATAAACTTGTGGTCCAACTTGCTGCAACACCTGATATGGTCCTTTCCATTGAGCAAGGAGCCCCTTAGATAAACCACGTACTGTAAGATGGGGAAAACAGACTAACACCAAGTTATCTACCTTGTACTCTATAGGTGGACGATGATAGAAGTTATAGTGCTATTGTTGTCCCATTTGTATGTGGCCTAAATGTTCAGCAGACTTTGTTTGAACAAGTGGAAGAATACTCGTCAAATACTAATCTTATGACTTAGCATCAGCAACTCATCGCAAAGGTAAACCAAGCTCCATTGGTAAAATTGGAGCATGACCATATAGGAGTTTATATGATGAAACACCAATAGAACTCTGCACCCTTGTGACATATGCATATCGAAGAGATGGCAAATAACCATCCCAATCCGAATGCTAAAAGTTCACATATTTCGCAATCATCCCTTTGAACGTCTGAACAAGCCATTCTACCAGACCGTTGGATTGTGGATGATAAGCACTCATGAAAGTGTGACGTATCCCCAACCAAGATGTCAAAACATGAAATACCTCAGCCATAAATGCGGGACAATTATCTGAAAGAATTTGCTTTGGAGAAGAATGCTGGAATACCACTCAATTGAGGAGGAAGTATCTAATAGCAGTTGCAAATGCACTAGCAAGAGCACCAACTTCCACCCAACGAATCAAGTAGTCAGAAGCAATAACAATATACTTATTGCTAGCAGTCGACCGTGAAAAAGGTTCTAGAAGATTAAATGCCACCAACTCAAATGGACAGGAAACTACAATTGCCTCCAACTGTCCTTCTGCAGTATGAGGGGGAGTATTGCGAGCTTGGCACCAAACATAGTTATGCACATATCAAATAACATCACGTCGTATCTCCGGCTAATAGAAATACTTGCGTAGCTTCTCGGTCACACGACAATGTCCCATATACCCACATAGAATAAGAGAATCATGGTAGGCATGGAGAATCTGTGGAATAAAGACAGAAGGTACCACTAGCCATAAAGGATTATAAGGATCTGTCCCCACAAAATAAAGAAGGCTATCTTAAAGGCGATACTAAGAATGTAAATGCCAGAATGGCAAGTCATCAATAAGTAATGTAGAATTTTCAAACCCATCTCGAAGCTTTTGAATCCACAGTTCAATCTTTAGAGCCTCATAAACCTTATCAAGAGAAGATAGATTTTGCTTTGCATCTTATGGACACTAAACATAGGTACAACAACTGCTAACAACATAGAATCCTCGTTTAGAAAATCCACAGATGCTGAAATAATAGGTTCATCCAAAACATGAGAAGAGAGTGAAGAAGGAAGAGGAGCTCAAGAAAGGGCATCAATATCAGGCATAAAACTACCTGGGTGATGAATAACATTAAAATCATATATCTAAAACTTCAAAGCCCACCAAGTAATACAACCAACCAGTTTCTTTCGCTTCAATAATGTAGTAATGGTAGCATGATCACCTTTAAGTAACGTTCGAGAACCATGTAAATATGTATGAAATTTTTTGAAACCCTAGACTACTGCTAAATGCTCTTTTCCTGTCGTGGAGTAGTTCACCTCCGTTAGTTGTAATGTATGGCTTATATACACAATGGGATGGTGCTAACTAGGCATACTTGGGCTCTCTTGCATCAACACACTTCTAAAGCCAATATCAGAATTATTCACGTGCAAAATAAAAGGTTAAGTGTAGTTAGAATATTATAAGCCACAAAATTTTCCTTTTCAATTTGCTAGCTTACCTCGTCTATCCAACCATCACGACCTTTGCTTTAGTTAAGTTCCCTCGTCAAGGTTCCCACCTATTGTATTAAATCCTACTTGGTTCTACTTAGTTTCAACTACTCACTACACGAATAACGGAGCATTAGCCATCCATCCACAGATTCCCAAATCTCTCTCAATTTACCTCCCCAGGTTAAATTGGACTTAAGGTTCGGCTACACTCTTCGCAGGCATAAATAGCCAAGCACACCAAGCCACCAGGTTTCTAACATCCCTTAGTACAACAAAACTTGATTATGGGACCCTCTAAATCCCAAGCCTTCGATGCAACACTTGCTTCAGGACACTGAAGGGAAATATCGTGGCCTAATGGTTTGGTATAGGTGCCCCTATTCCCCCACTTCCATCCTGAAGGGAAGGCTCAAGCCCCTAGGAAGGGCGAGGACCAATGAGCCACAAGGTACTCAAATGCGGCACCACTCCACATGAGCTGGGAGCACCATAGTCGGTTTCCCTTCCGGGAGTGGGAGTTGCTATTGAGCACTTCTTTGGGTGGCCCTTCTAGCACCACTTGAGTCCATGCTCACTCCCACCCAAGGCCCCCTAGCCCTTGTTTTAACCCCAAGTTGGTTTGGGAACCCCCTTTGGGGGGTCCCTCAAGGGGGGTTTTTGAGCCCCCCCTCCCCCTAAAAATTTTGGGGGTACCCTGGGAAACCCCCCCCCCCCCCCCCCCCCCCCTTGGGAGATGCACGCTTTGGGCTTCCACCCCTCGACCTGTATTAGTTCTCAGACTCAGTCTTGAACTTGATCTCGGACCCGACCTCGGACTTGGTCTCGGACTCGATCTCAAACTCGACCTCGGACCCAATCTCATACTCGACCTTGGACTCAACCTCAGACTCAGTTTTGGACCTGATTTTGGATCTCGGACTCAGTCTCAAACTTGGTCTCAGAGTTGGCCTCAGACTCAATCCCGGACTCTATCTCAAACTTGGTCCCAAAGTTGGTCTTGGACTCGATCTCGAACTCGGTCCAATCTGATGAACTCTTTATCATTTCGGTCGTGCTTTAAGGGATCCTTTAGCCTATGACATCTCGGGGAGTTGGTTCCTTACAGCACTCTGATGTGTCCTGTGTCAAGACCCCCAACAAGATCAAGACTGGAAAATGCAAAAGACAAAGAGAAAAGCTAGTGGAAACAAAGAAGAGGCCTTAGACTAGTGTTGATTCAGATTGTGGAGAAATGGAACAAGGCTAACTTATGTATACTATAGGTTGATGAAGCTCCACCACTCTTGGATCAAGGATAGCTCAAATATAACTGAGGTCGAGGAGGCGCTACATCATCATCAGGAATGTGGCTCGAGACTCAGGAATCATACAGGAAATCAGAGAGTCAAGAATAGGGAAGTGTCTTGAGAGTCAGGAATAGGAAAGTATCTCGAGAGTCAGGAATGTGGTCTGCAAGTCAGGAATCCCGCGAGAGTCAGGAATGTGGCAAGAATTGGGGGATTCCTGATAGCACCCCCTCCTTAAGAACGAGTGGAACAAGGACGTGAACGAGAACGAAGAGGAGGATGAGATGAGTGGCGAGGGATGGGAGATGGAGAAAAAGAATGAGGACTGGGATGAGAAGGATAGTTGCGGTGGAAGTCCT